TACCATTTATGGCACTGATCTATCAAAAGCAAAAAAGGGTAACAATTTACAGGCATAGAAACTTGTGACTCGCGGTCGAAATGTCTCACGATCACAGCGTGATCGTCGGTATGACTCGCGGTCACGGCGTTATCATCGGTATGACTCGAGGTCACGGCGTTATCATCGGTATGACTCGCGGTCACAGTGGAATCGTCGGTATGACTCGCGGTCATGGCAGAATCGTTGGTATATACGACTCGCGGTCACGGTGAAATCGTTGGTATGACTCGCGGTCACGGCGCGATCGTCCAAATGACTTGCGGTCACGGTGCGATCGTCAAAATGACTTCGGCTCCTGCGTTCGTGGAATAACCGTGAACATCTCTCGCGATAGCAGCGTCATTTTCACTCGCGAAGCGTCAAAATTGCCGATGATGGGATCAAATCCCGTCCCGAAAAATTCCAGAATCAAATTAAATCCCGTCTCGAAAATCGGGAATATTTTTTTCCCGAAATTTCGGGACCCGTGCGTTGATACCAGTAGCTGCCGCGCGGCGCCCCCCCAGCCGCGGCGCCCGGGGCAGCTTGCCCCGGTTGCCCCCCCTTCGGACGGCCCTGACTTTATGCTTAATACTGAGACAAAAAGTCCTATACATAACAAGAAAGTATCAAGTACTAGCAGCCAGCAAGAGGCACAGGAGCCGAGTACAAGCAGTCAACAAGAGGCCCAGGAGCCGAGTACCAGCAGACAACAAGAGGCCCAGGAGCCGAGTACCAGCAGACAACAAGAGGCCCAGGAGCCGAGTACCAGCAGACAACAAGAGGCCCAGGAGCCGAGTACCAGCAGACAACAAGAGGCCCAGGAGCCGAGTACCAGCAGTCAACAAGAGGCCCAGGAGCCGAGTACCAGCAGACAACAAGAGGCCCAGGAGCCGAGTACCAGCAGTCAACAAGAGGCCCAGGAGCCGAGTACCAGCAGACAACAAGAGGCCCAGGAGCCGAGTACCAGCAGACAACAAGAGGCCCAGGAGCCGAGTACCAGCAGACAACAAGAGGCCCAGGAGCCGAGTACCAGCAGACAACAAGAGGCCCAGGAGCCGAGTACCAGCAGACAACAAGAGGCCCAGGAGCCGAGTACCAGCAGTCAACAAGAGGCCCAGGAGCCGAGTACCAGCAGACAACAAGAGGCCCAGGAGCCGAGTACCAGCAGACAACAAGAGGCCCAGGAGCCGAGTACCAGCAGACAACAAGAGGCCCAGGAGCCGAGTACCAGCAGACAACAAGAGGCCCAGGAGCCAAGTACCAGCAGACAACAAAACGCCGCATACTCACAACCAGATGCCCCCAAGATTCGCCGATCAACGAGAATCAGGAAACCTATCAAAAGGATGGATTTGTAAATGAGTTTTCTCTCATGTTCTCTCTGTTATACAGGGTGTTGAAAATGTCTGGAACCAACATTATATCTGGTGGGTGGTTAAAGAAAAACAACTGATGTTTTGTGTACCGATATAATATGGTTTTACCTATCTTTTGGTGCCTTATGAAAATTTTTACCACTTATAGGGAACGTCCTGTGGAGGATGCAGTAAAAAGTTTTAATGGAAGCCTATGGTAAATGATACATCGTTTTAAAGGCCATATTTTTCTGAGTAAGGAGCCACAAGTTTCATCTCAAAAGGACAACCCTAGCAAAAATGGCGACTGTTTGAAATTTTAAAAACCACTTATAGGGAACGGAATTTTTTAATTTCAAACAGTCGCCATTTTTGCTAGGGGTGTCCTTTTGAGATGAAACTTGTGGCTCCTTACTCAGAAAAAAATGACCTTTAAAATTATGTATCATTTACCATAGGCTTCCATTAAAACTTTTTACTGCATCCTCCACAGGACGTTCCCTATAAGTGGTTTTTTTTAAATTTCAAACAGTCGCCATTTTTGCTAGGGTTGTCCTTTTGAGATGAAACTTGTGGCTCCTTACTCAGAAAAATATGGCCTTTAAAACGATGTATCATTTACCATAGGCTTCCATTAAAACTTTTTACTGCATCCTCGACAGGACGTTCCCTATAAGTGGTAAAAATTTTCATAAGGCACCAAAAGATAGGTAAAACCATAGTATATCCGTACACAAAATATCAGTTGTTTTTCTTTAACCACTCACCAGATATAATGTTGGTTCCAGACATTTTCAACACCCTGTATATTTAAAACTCTCTCATTTAATTTTAATATTTATCATGACTGATTTAATTTCATATTGTAAATAATTCAATGTTTACTTTAAGAAATAAACATGATTCAATAGTTGTGTTCATATATTTTGTACGAATTTATACTTAATAGTATCCTTACTTTTTATGGCATATACTTTCATTCAGATTAACATTAGCCAAAAAAAAAAAAAAAAAAAAAAAAAAAAACTGGTTGGTTGGTTTTTTGTTTGGTGTATTATTAGCCGTTCATAATAGTAGGCAAATTAAAGCTCAAAAGAACAACTGAGTAAAAATTGGCAGCCGTTCAAAGATTTAAAATGACAGATTCAAGATATCTTTGAACGGCTACCATTTTTGACTTGGTTGTCCATTTTTTAGTTCAAATTTGCAGCATTGTATTCTGCTAATAAAGCCCTTTAATTTGATATACATCAACCTATGCTCCTATTTCAGATTTCCTTCTGACTCCTTGCCCCCATGCTTCAGATTATCACTACAACACCTGAATCTACAACAGAAAACTGACAGTTTCTTCAAAAAGTATATTTTTAGGTGCCGTTTTGATTTACCAAATCTCATTGATTTATCTGTTATCGTTTAGAAAACATTAAGCCTGTGCGGGACTTTATATACGCCTTAATAGGTGTGAAACGTGAAAAACTTCAGTGACAGTGACACGGCCATTGCAAGTATTAGTAAATCGCTGTCTTAAAAGGATTTTGAACATTTGGTGGCCAGAGGTGATTTCAAACAAAGAATTGCTTGAGCGAACAGACCACTTTCTATAAATGAGGAAATAAAGAAAAAGAAGTGGCGATGGATTGGCCACACACTGAGGAAACCAAACTATGCCCTGCAAAAAGAAGCACTTGGTTGGACCCCACAAGGTGAAAGAAGAAGGGGAAGGCCAAGAGAAAATTGGAAGCAAAGTGTTGAAAGAGAGGCCAGACGTGCAGGAACAAGTTGGGAAGAGGTGAAGAGAGTCGCTGCTGACAGGGACCAGTGGAGAATACTAGTTGAAGCCCTATGCTCCAGTGGGAGTTAATGGAATTAAGTCGTCAAGTAAGTATTAACCCTCTTTGAGGTCAAATTTTTCCCCCATTTTTTGCCGAGTATAGTTTGCCATTAGAGCAGTCAGGAAAATGGCGCCCGGAGACCTATAATCACCGTTCAGCTGCAAAAATAAACTTTTTTGATTTTTTCTTTTTTTCTTTTTTTTTTTGTATAAGTCCATAGGTAAAAGCTAATTTTATTTTGTTGACCCGGGTCAATCACCAAAAAAAGGTACTTAAAATGAAGGTATATACATAAAACAGCATATTTGCAGATTTGCAGACTGGCGCCTACTAGCACGCTGGAGGGGGTGTCAGTCAGCTGGAGCGTCCATACACACTCTGCTTGTGCACACCACGATATCAGTTTAAACACATGGAGAGAACGTACAAATGACATGATATATTTCAATTTAAAAATTAAACAAATTGTACATTTTTACTGAAAAACTAAATAATTTTCTTAAAAAATTAGTTTGTTATAACATTATAAATCAATAAAATATAAATAAATAGTTGCATAAAAAAAATATTTTCAACATGTAACGTTTAGAATAGGCCTACATGTTGATATACCTTCGTTCCAAGTTTTATGTATATAGTGTACCGTACCTTAATTTTAGGTACCTTTTTTTGGTGATTGACCCGGGTCAACAAAAGGATGTTAATGTGAGAATTTTGTTTTTTATAAAAAATTGTTTGCAATGTTCTTGATAGTGGGTATTATTTAGGGTTCTTATTGCTTCTTTTTGTAAGTAATATAAAAATTGATTGAAAGAGGTCTGTACTTGCTGCGCCCCAGGCAACAATTCCAAAACGGAGGTGTGATTCTATGAGAGCATGGTAGGCAATTTTAGCTGTAGTAAAGTTGGTTAGGTTAGTTATCCTTCTCATAGCATAGATTGATGTATAGATATTTTTTGTTGCAGTGAATTAATATGGTGTTCCCATTTTAAGTTTTCGTCTATTTCTATTCCCAGAAATTTGGTATGGTCTGATCTGTTTGGGTTTGAGTTACCTAAGGGGGCTTTGTTTGGGTTTGATTTGCAGGAAAATTCTATTGTAACAGTTTTGGCGTTATATTGATTCTAAGGTCTATTGATTTGCAGAATTGTTCGATATGTTTTAAAATATTTTCTCAGTTATTCCTCCGTTAGTTATAAGTGATGATCTCGTGGGATTAGTACTGTGGTGTCATCGGCAAAAATAATACAGTCCATTCCTGTTGGCAGGTTTTCTGGAAAATTGTTCATATATATGATGAATAGGAGGGGGCCGAGGATGCTTCCTTGTGGAATTCCTTGGGTCATATCTTGAAGTTTAGATTTGGTTTTAAGTTCAATGTTGTTTTTTATGTAGCCTATTTCTACTTGTTGTTTTCTATTTGTGAGATAACTTTTGATCCATTTTTGAGCGTCCTGTTTTATGTTAAGTGAATCTAATATTGTTAATATTGTCTAATATGTCTATTATTATTGTCAAACTGTTAGACTCTCAATGGCAAATAGGCATAGGCCTAATAGTTTTAATTGAAAATGATCAAATTGTTTGCAATTAGGCCCACTGTAAATTAGACCTTAAAATACACACACCTGGGCCTGTGCCTCCTAAGATATTCTAGACTAAACCCTACCAATGGCTCAGAATAACTTAATAACCAATTGAGTGTAACTTAGTATCTGTTAAAAATATCTGAGACATAAGTTAGACCTAGTAACTTAAATAATAGTAGAAAATTAAAATAGGTTACCTCTCACAAATTGCAGATAGCCTATTTCTTTGTTTTCGGTTTTCGAAACAGAAGCCACAAATGTACAAAAAACTTAGGCAAGAAGTAGATTCAGCGCATTTTCACAACAAAAACTGATGATTATAATACACAACTAACTGTCAGTCTATCTCTGTTGGTTGAATAGATAAAATGATAAAAATTCATTTAGGCTTAGGCCTATTTTACGGCCCTTCCTTCTCCTTGCTCTTTCTTTCAACTTTTTTAAATGGTGTGGTGTGGTGAGTGGTGACTGGTGACTGGTGAGGAGGAGATGTGAAGAGAAGAGAAGCAGAAGACCACCAAAACAACAAACAAAAACAAACACTGTGGACTAACACCGAGGATTCTTATAGACAGTCAAAAAGCAACTGAATTTTTGTTATCTCGTATCATTGAGTCAAAGCTCGTATCTTAGAATACGTATTCCATGTGTAACTAAATCAAGCCGATTACTTTACCACAAAATACTGTGGTACAATCAGGGTTGCCACCCGTCCCGATTCTACCGGGACAGTCCCGATTTTGGTTCCTTATGACCGTATATACGCCTATGTTAATTAGGGGGGAGGGGGGCAATGTCCCTATTTTTCCCTAACCTAAGGCCAGGGACACACTTACCGGCGAAACCGCCGGACGCCGGATCCGGTGGCGCCGGAGCAAGTTGAGATACACAGGAAGGCATGGGGCAGGCCACACTTCTCCGGTTCGGCGAATCTGCCGATCCGGTGGGAAAATGCTCCGGCGAAACCGCCGGATATTCTCTAACTCGCCGGACCGCCGGATCGGCGGTTTCGCCGGAGCAGTGGGTAGCGAGGCATTGTGCCTTATGGAGATGAACACACTTACCGGCGAAACAGCCAGACTGCGACTGCCCCCACTCCTCAGTCGTGGTTCAACCCTCGAGGGTGGTGATTGTTTATGATTTGTATGCAGTGTCCAAGGGGTGTATTTAGTTTTGTTTTGCTATTTAGTTAATTTAGTTTTTATTTTTAGTCTGTTTATCATTTTAGTCTGTTTATCTGTATATCATCATGGTGGATGTTGATATGGATTTACTTATTAGTTTGGTTCATGAGAAACACTGAGCTATAATTCTAACTGGAGGTAGCACTGAATGTCAAAGATGCGTGTCGCCAGCCGCCATGTTTGCGTGAGGTGGGTGTCCATAAGAAGCCATATTATTGCTATAACTATTATTATACTTGGCTTAAAATACCTACTTTGTATGGTCACCATTTCAAAGAAAATTATTAAAGTATTAAAAGTATTCAAGTATGACAAAAATACTCACTGCTATACCAACCTAGTTATAAGAAGCCATGTTATTGCTATGGTAAGAAAACTTACTGCTATACCAACCTAACAAAATCAGCGACTCGCTTTTGACAGACTTCTGCCATGGCAGTGCTACCTCCAGTTATAATTTTAGCTCAGTGATGAGAAACCAGAACTTTGTGATAGGTCTTTGGAAATTTACAAAGACAAAAAAACGAGTGACAGCAGCAGCTGGCGACAAATTTGTGCCGCACTGAATCCAGCCTTTCCAGCGTCTCATGTATAGTTTTTGTCCTTGTTGCACTGTAATCTTCGATAGTAGCTCGTTGAATGAGGGGACAGACATTCGAAAATAATTTAAAAACTTATTCTCTTTATTTCTCAACTGTAAAAATAGAGTGTAAAAAGCTCCATGTAGCTGTCTGTTCTCCAGAATAGGATGCACCCAAACACAGTTCGGTGGTGTTTTCTCTTCCTTCTGTGGTGGATCAAACCATATCAAACACAGCAAGGCCAACTTTTGAGGTCTCGACAGCACCATTTCTAAGACTAAACTGTACTAGAACTGTACTAGTCTAGGGTCGCCGGAATTTTATCCCCCTGAAATTTTACCACCTGGGCAAAGCTGACGTCACTACGACGTAGTAACCTGAGTGGCCGAAAGTTTGTTCGCGGCCGCCCGCGGATTTGGAAGTCTAATGAAAATAGCCAGAGCGTGATTAATTAATTAGATTAGCGATAAAAACCGGAATTTATCCCCTTGTCCATATAACTAGCGTTTAGACAGCTGAAGATGTACGGGCCGGATTTTTACCCCCGGAATTTTACGCCTGGATTTTTACCCCCCAGAATTTTACCCCCTGGCCGATTTTAGAAATCGAATAATCAATTTTCTTATTTCTGTTTTTAGTTAATTGTAAACATTTCATTATTTAGTAGCCTATCTTTATTTATTTACTAGCAGGGTACCCGTCCTTCGTACGGGGTTATAATATAAGTATAAAATATTTATTGTAGTTATACTAAAGCTTTGCGTTTGCAATAAGGGAGGACACAGTTTGATAAAATTTGCTTTTTTAAAGTTACAGTACTCTATAGTATTACCATAGATAAAACATACTCCCTTAGTAGATTTCTCATCCTTATGGAACAGCTGAAGACAATTTTATTGTTAGTTCTGTACGGTTTTCTGCAGATGTCGTGTTTTGTTTACAATTTGTTTCCCGTTATTACAGCCATTTATAACCTCGTTTAACCAAATAATACGATCTAATCATTAACAATAACTTGTCCCCTAGTTATATAACCAAACAGTAAAGCACATAATCAAGAAATTAACCCTAAAATAATAGAAACAAAATTTCGTCGACACTAGCGCCCAGTGTGGCGTACATGAACTAGACATGAAAAACGAGCTTCAAAATTTACAATGGGATGAGAAGTCTACTTGTGTTGGTTAGTCTATGGTATTACACATCTACCATAGCCATAATGTTCTACCACTTCACCTAAACAATAGAGAAAAATAAATTATCAACAATTCGCAAAATATCACAAATTATTCATGAAATGAAAAACACAAACATGACTGTAAACAATCCTACTTTGACAGTTCTCATTGCAAATCACAGTTTTTTGTTGCTGCTTAATTCAAATTAGCTGTTTTCATAAATGCAAAAAAAATACTGTTTGTAAATCTTATAACTTTTTAATGCTTTTCCATATCATAGAACCAACTTTTTTAGTTGAAACAGCTGACTAAATTCTTTAATTCCCTTTAAATAAGGTTAACATGGGGAATTACAGAGCCACTGGGGCGGAGCCCGAATGGATTTTTGAGATAAGAATATGTCTATATGTTAATCGGGAATGTAAGCTATCATCATGCCAAATTTCAGCCCAATCCGTCCAGTGGTTTATGCGTGATTGAACTTCAAACACACAAACAAAAAAAACAAACAAACAAACAAACACACAAACTTTCACATTTACAATATTAGTAAGATTTTGTAAAGAAATGTTTGAAATTATCATTCAGTTGATTGTTTACGTCATATTAACCATATTATTATGTTGGCTTCAAATATCGAATCATAATACTAGAATCTCAATATTAAAATTAAAAACTTGTTCGATTAGTTAATGTTACAAATAAATTAATATAGGCTACTTAATAATAAAATGTTAACTATTAATTAAAACAGAATGAAGATAATTAATCATTGTCACTAATTTATATATCTGACCATGCAGTAAGGTGTCGCAGCCAAAAATCCTTCTGGTCGGTATTCCTAATAGGTATGACTATCCCGCCTTAAACACTGAGATTTCAAAAATGAACCATAATCTGTTGTGCTCTCAAACCAGTACAAAAACGTTGTTTTTGTTTCCTTAAAGTCTCTGTCTCGTAATTTATTCACACGTCATGGCCTTCACCTTAACTTTAAGGGAAAGACAGCCCTTGCCAACATCCTACTTGAGTCCTTGCATACTCATCAGACCCCCACCCCTGATACCACCGCTCTAACCCTCCATCCTCCTGACCCAGCCATGGAAACCCTTACACCACATTAATCAGAACCAAAGCCTCCACACAAACCTGACCATGTCGATGTGACCCATACACTTCCAAAAACCCATCCTAACATAAAAGCCAAACAACTCGAACCTATGGCCCGTACTCAATGTCGTACCTTCTCCAGCAAACATTTTTTAGGGGAAGCCCGAAAACCTCCAGGAGTCCCTTGGTCACTCTATCTCGACAGAGAATGGGGAATCAGGGTAAAGGTTTAAAAATGTTGCACCAAAACATTAGAGGTGTGTTAAATAAGGCAGAAGAACTAGAAATGATGGCTGCGACACCTTACTGAAAAAGGAATTTAAATCTGATTCGAAATTGTTACAGCGGTCAAGGCTAACAATATTGTTTGTTCCACCAACAATAACAATCACATGTTCTCTATTTAAATAGTTGTCTTTGTTTATATTTTCTGCTGTGTAGTGTATTCTGCCTATCGATTTTCCTCCTCGTCTTCCTTGCGATGTCCTCTATCGTCTTGGTTCGAAATCCGAAATCTTGAGCGATCTTCTTAATGGTGTCCAGTTCTTTCTTCCTATTGGCTTGACTAAGTGGGATCTTATAGGCTCGGTACAGCATAGATCTAAAGGCTGCGGTCTTGTGGATTGTCGGATGGATAGACTTGCTGTTGATTGTAGTGTCCGTTTGCGTAGGTTTCCTGTAGATGTCGAAACCTAAGCAACTAATTAAAACTTTATATCTTTGGCTAACTCAATTTCTTTAATTTGAGTTAAAACTTTGTTTTACACTGTGGGATCCCAAATTACTTATGGGATACCGAATACTTACGTGCAGACAAAATTAAGAGTTCAAAGTTCTAGAGGCAGATGCCTCCGAAACTAGGGTTAAAATATTCGCGATGTTTCCAAGTGTCGGCCCTGAGGGTGATAAGATACCATCTGTGATATATAGACAGTGGTGTGGACAGGCCCTAATCTCACCATTGTTGGCGATATTCAAATCTACACCCGCGAGCGCGCCGCGACCTTCCCAATAATGGCTTCATCCTTAAAAAAACACTTTTGATATCTACCGAATTGGCGTTTGTCTTAAAATTATGAGTCTATTTATGAATTAGGTAGCGAATGAGAATTTTACCGTCTAGGAAAAAATACCCTTGGCCATTTTGGGAGTAAATTGTTGGTCCGACCAATAATTTTGATAGTATCTCGTAGACGCTAGCCAATTGAGTTTATTGAACGCCTTATGTTTATAGCCCCGAGAATTCGTTTTGGCACTATGTGCTAATTGCCTCGGTTGTCTGCGATGAGTTAGTCATCAATCTGGATACCAAATCAACAGATTGTAACTACTAAGTATGTTATAGTAGCCTAGTCTAACCTATATTTTACTGAGCGAACGAATTTTGGATCGTTTCATTACT